CCGGGACCCAGTTCTTAGTTGATACTGGGGCGGAAGTCAGTGTCATTCCCCCCTATGCCAGGTGAGCCTCTCGCTTCTTTGTCGACAAGCCTCAATGCCGTCAATGGCACGTCAATAGCCACCTACGGTCATCGGTCGCTTACCCTGGACCTACGTCTTCGGCGCACGTTCAGCTGGGTATTCACCGTCATTACGGTCCCCTTTGCCATCATCGGCATCGACTTTCTCAGGCGTTTGGACCTCCTGATCGATGCGAAACGCCAGATGATATTAGACACTGTAACGAAACTCATCGCTGATGTCACATCTACATCCCCGGTCTATGCATTTCCCCAGACCTCGCCAGACTACGCTAATCTCGTTTCTCAGTATGCCAAGCTTGTTCAGCCAATGAACGCAGCTTTGTCCGTTGCAGTTCAAGTCACACACCACATACGGACGAATGGCCCATCTGTGTCATGCCGTCCACGTCGACTATCGCCCGAGAAAGTAAAGGTAGCTAGGGCGGAGTTTGAGCACGTGCATGAACTTTGAATAATCCGCCCTTCCGACAGCCCTTGGTCCTCGCACTTGCAGATGGTCCCCAAGAAATCTGGTGACTGGTGCTCTTGCGGTGATTACCGCGCACTCAATCGCCTAACCGTCCCAGCTAGGTATCCCATCCCACACATGCAGGACCTTACCGCATGCCTCACAGGCAGGACGATCTTCAGCAAGATTGATCTGGTTCGCGCCTATCACCAGATACCTGTGGAAGACAATGACATTCTTAAAACTGCCGTCATCACTCCTTTCGGCTTGTTTGGATTTCTAAAAATGCCATTTGGACTGTGCAACGCCGCACAAACCTTCCAACGCTTCATCCACGATGTCACACGTGGCTTGGACTTCGCTTATTCCTATCTCGATGATATTTTAATCGCCAGTGCATCGGAACAAGAGCATCTCGTGCATCTTCGAACTCTTCTAACGCTTGACACAACACGGTGTTACAACCCGAGTAAGTGCGAACTCGGCAAATCAACGGTAGAATTCCTAGGCCACCTCGTTTCATCGTCTGGTATCGAAGTCTTTCCTGATAAGATCCAGGCAATCAAGGACTTCCCAGCTCCGACTTCGTTCAAGCACCTCCGTCGATTTTGTGGTTTGGTCAACTACTATCGACGTTTCATTCCGCGCTGCCATCAGTTCATGCAGTCACTGACTAACCTACTCAGAGGAAATGACCGTAAGTTCCCTTTCCCTGATACAGCACAGGCAGCCTTCGCTGAGCTTAAGGATGCTATCTCCAACATAGCCCTCCTGGCTCATTCCGTATCGACTGCACCCCTTTCTATAACGACTGACGCCTCAGACATTGCGGTAGGAGCGGTCCTCCAACAACACGTTGGTGAGCAATGGCAACCCCTTGGGTTCTTCTCCAAGCGCCTGCATCCAGCGGAATATCCCTACAGAACGTTTGGCAGAGGACTGCTCGCCATTTACCTAGCCATTCATCAATTCCGTCGCACACTCGAAGGCCGCGCTTTCCCAGACTGAACTGACCATAAACCTCTTATCTTTGCCTTCAACTCTGCTTACGACAAATACTCACCACGGGAAACAAGACACCTAGACTTTGTCACGCAGTTCACTGCTGACATATGTCATGTCTCAGGTGTCAACAATGCCGTCGCCGATGCTCTCTCACGCGTCAACCTCACCCTCCGGTCTTTGCCTACCGTTGACCTTGTCGTCATGGCATCGGCTCAGGACGAAGATATACAGCGCACCCTGCAGTCCACTTCGCTGCGTGTGCAACCTGTTCCTCTCCAAACCACGGAAGGAATCATTCTCTGACACTTCTACAGGTTGTCCTAAACCCCTCGTGCCCGTCTCCTTCAGACACACAGTCTTTGACGCACTGCACTTACTATCACATCCCGGTATGCGTGCATTTTTGAAGCTGGTCACCGAAAACATTTTGAAAACCTAAAAAGTGTATTTGCTTTTATCATGCATGCCATGTTCCCTCTCTGGCGTCAAGCCACTTCCCCGATCCTTGCCCACCCCCTCTGAGTTCTACCTTCCAGAAACTCAACCGCCGGACCTGTCCAGACAACCCTCGAGTGACTCGCCAACAGGCTCAACGCAACCCCCGAGTGACTCGCCAGCCGACCCAAGGCCTCATTCCTCACCCAAGGAACAGACAGTCGCCCTCGGCCGCAGACAGCCACGAACGGATTGGTCCCAAAACACCGCCTAGGCGTTGCCGACGAGGACGCTGGATTCCTTCGTGGTACGAGGACCGTGGACTAAAGTGCGGTGCGGGGGGGTAGTGACACCTCCCAAGCGCACCGTCGGGTCTGCAGCAAAGGAAGGTCCTGTTGGCCTTTTTTCTGGACTAGCCAGTTTTTTTTGCAGTCTGAGCAGCCCGCCGCGACGGCCCACCGATGATGCACTCTGGTCCACACAATCATCATAAATAATAACTAACAAAAGCCTGGACCCAGCGAGCTCTGCTACACACCCCACCTTACTGAAGCCCATGCAACTATTCGCACCCATCCTCACCTTCCGTTTCCCCCCCCCCCACTAACAGCTCCATCGAAGGCTTCCATCCTTCAGCCTTCTAGGGGGAGGCCCTTGTAGTGTACCGGAAAACACGCTATTTCAGTATTTTGCAACATTGGATTTTACGGTTGTTTTAACCTTCAGAACGTCCATTTGCTTTACTGACTGCACATCTGTTGACACAAACCGTTTCGGCGAGTACTTAGCTTGCTGCAGGTTTCTCGCTCTGTCTGATTCGCTTCCTATTCTTGTAGCCTGCACAATATACGTTGGGTTCAGTCGCCTCCGACTGCTATACTGTAGTATTTGACACGTCTTACGTGTCATTGCGTAACGACTAGTATCCCTAATTCCGCCCAACTTTTGGTGACCCCCTGTCAGGAACACGCTGGCCGCCATTTTGCATTTTCATTCTGGTGAGCTCGTTTCAGTGGTTTTGTGATTCATTACTTGTGATCATGTTGTTTTCTCATCTACCACATTCTTTATCCGCTTTTTGCAATAGATTATCTATAGGATAAGCCGTTTTCATGCACGGTTAGCGCCGTTGAGCCTGTCATGGTCAATTCTGTTGCGTTAGCCTCTCCCCCTTTTTGGAGAATAATGCTTTGAGAGGACTGAAAAACTACAGTAGTTCGAGAAAGATTTGCTTATGCTAAGTAGCTGATACATTTGTGATTATAAAGTGGGCGTGAAATATGAGTGTCTAACCATTTTAACTCCTTTAATGAAAGCAGTGACACACTGCCGTTCCTTTGATTGCCTAGTTTATATGAACGGAGCACGGTTAAAGACGACGATATATCCCAAACCGGCAGATACGCGTGCAGTACTTCAGAACAGTTCCGGTTATACAAAGCATGTCTATGCTGCTATCGCATGTCCACCGTTTCACAGAGCCAAAACTGCGTACAGAGGAAGAGGACAGGAAGATCGCTCGTAAGCAAATTAATAGATAGTGCATATCCGGGGCGGTTAGTGAAAGGCCAGTTGCCGAGAGATTTAAATCCACATTCGCGACGCACGACGGAGTGGATTGAGACAGTAAGAATACCCTATAAAAAGGGAACCTCTGAACCAAACAGACGAGTGCTAAACAAGGAAAAAATAAGGTCAGCATTCCAAAAGGTTCAAACGATCCCTTCAGCATTGGTGCGTCTGAAGGATTTGCTTCTAAGTGATAGGACGACCAATTGCATTTGTAGAATCAGCTGCAAAGGCTGGATACGTATAAATAGGTTAGACAGCGGGAAAGCTGTGCACCAGGATAACAGACTACAACAGGCAAGTTTCGCGTCGACCGAGAAACGAGCCTGAATACAGGGCCCTACTAATAGATTCAGCGTTGACCGTACACGCGCTAGATGCGGGAGACGAAATCAACTGGGACAGTGTCGAGGATAAGGTCAAAGGTTAAGTGCTGAGACGATTGAGATTACTAAGACTGATAAATATGAACAGTCCGGAAGGGACGGAGTTATCAAACGCGTGGTGGGCTGTCTTAACCCAGCTAGTCGAAAAGGTGTCGGGGGACGAACTCAGGTCGGAACGTGAATCAGCAACAGCAGGAGGAACAGTACTGACTCACATGTGAACGACCTGTGACGCGGATTAATGAGGAACGCGCGATGCCTGTTGATACACTAGGGTGGCCATTTGACCTACCCACCTGGAACGCTATTATCCACTGATTCGCGTTGTTCCTCGGAATCTTCACCTTGTCACAAAAAGCTAAGCTAACTGTGTACCGATTCACATGCCCGTTTACCGGCTTCCTCGGCGTGCATCATACTCGGTCGCTGCAACAAGTTGGGCGAAGCCGCTAGGCGGCCAGTCCATATGGCATAGATGCATGAAGAAAATTGACTGAGACTTGGTCAGGCGTGCCGTCCTCGTGGACAAGGGCCTCGGGATGGTTCACAACGATGATTGGAGACCGTATCAGACATGGCGCAGTCACGTAGGCAGTGACGTTCCTGCATCCGGATGGTAAAATTTGTTCCATTCTGATTGCTTTGACGCCCCCTATTTTGCTTCCATTTCCTTTACATTCCATTTGCCCTTAACCCCATTAACTTGACATTGTTATGTATTGTTATTCTTGCGATGTGAGTCGTGGCAACTGGATCCACCGCACCTGGGTGCTGGGATCATAGTTGACCAACTGAACTGTGAAACAATTCACCTAGTCTGAAGAATGTTTTGCGTTAAGAACGAAATGTTGCCACAATAAGAAACCTACAGAAACCGACTTGTATTCAAAACCACCTGAAATTATGAAGCCACAGTCGTTTTCAAGCCTATTCCGAGACATCAAATCTCTGATGACTTTGCAGAAGCGCTTAAGAGTTATTGTCTCTGCGGCCGCACGACAACACTGAAAAGAGGCGTGTCGGAGCCGCAGAGTTCAGAAGAGACTTGGTAAATCGAGAGATAACGTCTAAGCACCTTGTAAATAACTGTCCGGTTGAATGACTAAAAAAATAGCAGATCATTCAAGATGATGTGCTCAAGCTTGATATGTCCCAGAAGAATGGCAGATATGCGGGATGCAGCAATGGAAGCCAAAGACAAGTAACAGGCTGGATAATGAGTAAATGTATAGAGAAAATGACGGATAATGCTTTACACAAAGGATGTCGTCACGATCAACCAGAACCGGGAGGTGGTGTGATGGAGAGAGAGAGTAAAAGCGGATGTGGACGAGTTAGCCGGAAAATTTCCAGATGCACACCAAATTGTTATCTGTAACAGCGGCCAGATACTGACCATCGTGGCTGATGTCTGTGGCGTTCACGACGGGGTTTTTGAAACCGGAAGTGATGTTCTCTTTCATTTGTGCATCCTCATCCTTCGATCCACCAATACTACACTCGGGCCATTCGAGAATCTGCGGGGTGGGATTCATATAAAAGTGATTACACATCTTTAGGTGAATAGAAGTGCGATGACCGGATGAAGTCGTATCATCTAAGGTGAAGTTGTTAGGCAGCAACTTCGAATAGCCATAGTAGGATACCTGGTCCAATCACTAACACCAACAAACCTAAGACAAATGTCGCTGAATTGGAGATGAACATAGAAAGCACGATATCGACGATGTATATGAACAGACTTGGTGTGGCTCTCACACAGTTGCAAACATATTCAGAAGCAAAGCATTCACAATTAAGATGTTTAGTTTCTTCGAAATAGGATGAGCAAAAGGGTCAGCCGTAGGCTCGTCCACCAGTGACCAAGCTGCTGGTATACAGACAGTAAAAACCTATAAATTAGTGCATTCAGCTAACAAGCCACAGCATAACTATGAGATGACCGTCACGAATTCTTGAGCAGCACACAGCTGGGACAATTAGGGTGACAGTATGGCCATTCGATCGCTGACAGGCCTCATTCACCGGCAGCAAGAACAACATATAAAAGTTGAGTTAGGGGTATTCGCCTTGTGGCTGGATTGTGACATTCGATCTCCACTGAGACCTCGGCTTACTTTGAATTGGACGTCGATCATTGCGACCACCAGGACCGTGTCCGAAGTGGAGTTTCCGTGTTGGAAGGGAGCAACACCGAAACCCCTCCATTTCAGAGATGGTCCTAGCGATCGTAATGACCGACGTCCACCTCAAAGTAAACCCAGGTTTCAATAGAGATTGCGTGTTTCAATCCAAACACAATTATGAATTCCTAACAGCTCTGCCAAGACGAAAATATGGTTCTGAAAGCTAGATTGAGTGTAACTCTTTATTTTGGTTTCCTAGGGCAATTTGTCGGCCGGTGGCCGAGTGGTCTGCACATTTGCTCTGCAACCATAAGGTCACCGGTTCGAATCCGCGTAGGGGTGGGCGTCCTCGCGGTATACACAGCCCGCGCGCGACTGGTGGTGGTCGCGCGGCAGCTAGCGCCGTTACGGTGTACAGCTGACACATTATTATTATATTAGGGCAATTTAGCGAAATGGATCATGTTCTGTGATAGATTTGAACTGCGGGGTCAAGTGAAATTAAAAATAAGTTGTAGAGAGTAGATGCATCAAGGTAAGTGGTGGTTCAAGTACAAAGTTTTCAACCATTCCTCTTCCAGTACATTTTTCGTCCATCCACTAGACAATGTTAGTATAAGTTTCGTTATTTGGTGCTTGCAAGACTCAAAAATCGATTTCTATTTCCGTCTTTCTTTAACGGAAAACTTTAAAACAGTAGAGTTAGCTTTGGTAAACGATCTAGGGTACTTCTTAGATCCACACACGAAATCGAAACTGTCGTCGAAACCGGACCAAGGAGTTACGTACCCATGCTTAATTCCTACTTCCCAAATGCTGCACAAAGATATGCTGGAATTGTGAAACTTATATACAGAGCATCGGAGCTCCAACGAAAGCAAGGCGAATAACGAAAGAATTAGATTAATTGTGGATGTTTGTGAGTAGTGTAAAGTTCGTAGAAAGTAGAAGTCACGATTAAAATTCACACAACAATGTGCCTCGACGGGGAATTGAACTCCTGCCCAACGAATTTCTGGTCCGCTGCTCTACCACTGAGCTACCGAGGGCTGACGATTAGGTGCGCAATTTTTAATACATGACCTGCTTGGTGCGCGACGTATTGCCGATGAGCTCACAGTACCTGTCCTGGTATTGCAGATTGGCTCACTCACCCGTCACTTCCCAATGGACGGAAGCATCTGTCCTTCAGATGTGACTTCTACTTTCTACAAACTTTACACTACTCACAAACATTCACAGTTAATCTAATCTACCATTGCCCCTTGGACATATATGGATTGGCGGCATCCGTGTCCGGATTTGCCTAGCACACACATACATATATACCCAAGCTCTGAAATCCGCTCTTTTAGCTCGCTAACTAGCTTCCATTCAATCACATGTACAGAGCAACATTTTCGCACCCATGCAAGACTGTGGCCACACCTGTACACAATGATCAATTATTGACAGTCTTTAGCATGCCCGAGAAAAACATCGTACCTTTAGCGGTTTCAATTTGAATCGGCGTGCGTCTTCCCCAACTTGCTTTTGCAGGTCGTACAACCAAATCGTACCCTCGTTATCTCCGCATATCACGGTGTTTAAACCGCTGCGAGCGGTCACATTGATGTAAATCTCATCCGTGGTGTGCCAACGCAATTGACCACGGATTTCCACATTCACCGTTTTCTTTGTTCCCAAACGTCTCGATCGCTGTGAGACCTGAGAAAAATGAACGTAAGTGAAGAGTGGTGATGATCAGGCACACTGGTCGGAAATAACGTCGATGGATAAGCGATCAATAACATTGGTAAGAGGTGATACAAATGGGGCAATTGATAAAAAACGCGGAAATGGCAAGACGTACTTGTGAATAATCAAACACGTAAATTTCGCCCTCCTCAACACATTTAACCACGACAAGATCATCGCTTAACTTTGCTAATCCATCGAAACAAGGCTCACGACGAGTTGGGATCTTCAACTCGACATCTGGTTGTCTGAAAGGCACAATGAACGTTATACAGATAACCGGGGATTGCAACAAGCCATTGAACTAACTTGACAACGAAGCAGTAACAAACAATGATGAATTAGTCAAAGTAAAGGAAGATCACGTGGCTGGGATGCAGCATTTGGTTTAGCTGGCCTATGTTCCAGAAGTGGCAGAGACACGGGCCGCCAAGATATTATGAAGCAACTATCGAATACTTGGTAGGTATATAAACGTTTCAAAGAAAAGCGTATCGTAAGAATATCAGCCCTGACAACACTTCGATTCTACGCAACCACCGGGGACGGGATGCTGGTGGCCTTGAGATTCGGCTAGGATCCGCAATGTGTACACGGCCAACACACGCGAATGGTGGTGGTGGTCGGGTGGAAGCGAAGCGTCAGTACAGTGCCGTTGTGCGGTTGATGACCTTTTTGGTATGTTGCAAACACGTGAACACCCAAGTGGAAGCAGAGACTGGCGCTAGGAGAGAGGGTTGCAAACTAGACGCCTGAAAATGGGCGTGCCCGAGATTTAAGTAAGCTCTCTCAAGGTGTGTAAGAAGTTTACCAAATATACGAGAGAAGTACTTAAGATGTGTGTTGCTTCCTACAACAGCGTGGAAAAGTAAGATAGACAGTAAAGGTCATTTTCAGGCAAAGGTAGTATTAAGGCGAAATAGTCCATTCAAACGGCACAACTTGATCACGTTAGAGCATTCTTGATGCATGGGTAAACACGAATCAACAGGACAATGTGGTAGTTACGGACGAACGGCACGCAAAATCGTATTGAAAGGGTAACTTGTGTTCGTTTTTCCCATCCTGGATTGGGGTCTGGGTGTAGCCGTGTGGTGTGGCTCCAAGTGTGAGAAGCGTCGATGCAATCGGTGGTGATCGCACCAAGAAGGCGGAAGGTAACCGTTAGAGTACGAAACGCGTACAAACGAGCAGGTTAAGCTATACCGTTTGATGTAGAGAGACAAAGAGCATAGTTGAGAATGGGGTGCTCACCTCTCATCCGTGAGCTTCTCCTTGCGGAACTCACTGAATGTCCATGAGAACACACCGTCTTCGCAACCGGAGAGGAGACAATTGTATTTGGGAAGGAAAATCAGGTTGAGGACTGGGTTCAAATTGGGTCTGGGGCACACTAAGCGCATGAGAAGTTGGTGCCGAGTGCGATATTCTGGAGCAGAGGGAATGCCGACATCCCAAACGAGGACGGAGGCCTGAATGGAGTAACATATTGTCACGATACAGTGATCACTCGCACGAAGATGGCAGCGTGGTGGGAGCATGCCACTGAAGGAAAGCGATGATTCTCACAGCATAAGCGCAAGCATCACCTACCGACAATCACTCACAACACAAACAAACCAAGAGAATTAGTCACATCGTGAAAGACAAATTTGACAACGAGTATCGTAGTGGAGTAGCGACCAGGTTTAACAACTTCCAAGAAGACTGCGTTCAGGTAGTGTCAAGTTTTAAACCCGTTCACATATGTGTGTCTGTTATAGTTGTTAAATGGTGCTCCAATAGGAACTTGTACTGAGCAATCTTTCCCTCCCGTCAACTGCGAAAACAATTCGCAGACCATATTGATAAGCGACGGAGTGATTCAAACGCAAACTTAATTTGGCTAACCTATTACTAGTAGGGAATCCTAATTCTACAGCAGACACTGCAGTTTCGTGAACGGAATCTGGGTGGCATCCATATTCCCTTTTCTTATTTCCTTCTATAGGCCCTAATGCACCATCTACATGGGGACACAAAAAGCTCGGTGAGTCACAAAAATACTTTTTTTAAACCCGGGCTATTAGGACTCATCTGAAAGGATGACTTCCAGGGCGTACCATGTGTCTAGACTAGGTGGTCACACGAGATGGGCTGGTAAACCTATGCTATACGCACGATCTGGGCCGAGAAATTAAAACGTACATTCCTGTTACCGCGGTTCCATAATACAAATGATATACAGCAATCAACTTACGAATAGGTTTGCAATCGTAATAGGAAAGGGCAGAAACAGCAAGACGTGCGGCAGCGTGGCAAAACGGTACAGCGTAGCAAATCGTTAATTGGCAGACTGTCAAGGATGAAATGTTTGACCTTGAGGAGTCAAGGATATGCCAATAATGCGAATTGAAAGGGTAAAGTATTAGAAGAAAACATGTATACATTTTCGTAAAGATATAAATGAAGAGTTTTGGAAAAAAGGATATTATGCCTTCAATAGGTAAACTATTCAAAGTTCTCGTTGGACTTTAGATGCGTAGTGGAATGAAAATAGCCAAAGGGGAAGAATTGATATTCTATCTGCTGGTTGACGGCCTATGCTCTTCGGTCTACTAACCAGACTACCGCAGTCACCTAAAGTACGTCTCGTTACGATGCGTGATGCAGTTCAGTTCAATACAGCTGAACAAAAATGATCCGAGCACCAAAATGCGGTGAATCAATCCAGTGGGTGCGACTTCCGTCTCCAAGACAGCAATGAGTAACAATGGTGAAGAAAATGAGAGAGAACGGAAACAGAGCACAAATAGGGGGAAATACGTGAAACTGATCGGGATGGAATGAACATGAACGTTTAGATGGAAGAAACTGAACTGTACCACGGATTACACAACTATGTCATGGACGATAGTATCCAATCAACGATGTGGGCCATTGCGGGGCTATACTCATTTCGGAGTTAGAATACAGATAAGTGATGCGAGAAGCGCCAGCGAATTCATTCATTCCGGATCACATGGCCCGGTGAAGATTTTGTGCGCGGACGCGGAGGATCCCCACTTCACGAACGTCATCCAGTTCGAAGAGTTCATTTGAACACAGCAAACAAACCCACAAATTCAGTCACACTTCAAAATTTCACTCACCATGCCCAATACTACTACACTTACATATATACAGACAAACAAATCCACCACGTTATTGCTTAACTTGCTATATTTTTATACAACTACCGACCATACCTGTTTGTATTATCATGATCATGCCTTTGCAGGCATGCCCCGCACTGCATGGGAATAAAGCATTTATTTATTTATAAGCTAGGGCGGTTACAATAAACAACCGTTCCCAAACCCTCTGAAATGACAGCCTCAACATTCTGTGCCATCACAAATACAATCTGTTAAGCATTATTCGCATAAAGATACATTCGCCGTAACGTGGTGATTTTTCATGAACGACGATGTGCGTAAGCGAGTACTAAGCACTGATAACCAAGTTAGTTCCTTAGAACAACAGAGAACACTAAATAAGTTGCGTTTGCTTGGGCACGTACTACGTGTGCCAAGTCACCGCAAGGCTGGAGGTGGATAACGTTTGACTTGGCAGCGGGAGATTAAGTCACTGACGATCAAACTTGGTACTGTCGGTGCGTCTCGCCTTCCATGCTGGAGTCCACGTGACTCGCCTTGTACTTAACTCGAGACTCCAGGACATGGCTCGCAGTCGACATCAGTGGCCCGTCTGCTGTCGTCTCCTAATCGGATTGCTTGTCTAAAGTTTGTCGCTGTATTATCTTCGAGGTAATGGATGATTATGACGCGGGGCAATAAAAGCCGCAAGGAGGATGTCTCGCCGATGCCGCCTTATCTTTGCACGATAGCCACCTGTTTGTGACGGTATGTTGTGAACAAGATGTAGGTATCTTGACCCTGAATGTTTGCTTAGGGCATTAAGGTTTCCGGTAACCCCCACCCCTCTTATTATCCTTCGTTCTGTAGGTCGTTGTACGGCAGCGAAGCATCAGTTCAAATGGCAAATGTGTACTACTTTTGAAGATGTTCATGAGAATGAGGCAGCGAAACACGAGATCAGATGGTGACGAATGAGAGCAAAAAAAGACATCTAACCTTTGAATCTCCTGAAAACAGGATCGTCGGCTTTTCCGGATGGAAAATCATGCAGGCGATGTCGTCTTTGTGGCCACGCATCTCAGCATAGCACACCAACTGCTCGGGGTGTAAAAGACGGATTTCACGCAATTTCCCAGCTGCAGCCAGTAAGTTGGTTTTATGTCCGGCAGCCATTTCCACAGTCGTCCATGCCAATGAGTAGAATTCCTAAGGGACAGAAGAAGTCTGCGTTATATGAGTGATAAAGCTTCTAAGAAGAGCCAGCTAGAACGTAAGTGGAAAGCATGCTAAACACAGAAAATGCAAGGTCCTTAGATGCACAGAAGACAGTATAATACAGAAGCATTTGGTTCTGTGGGGAGAAACATTTGACCACGCTTTCCACAAGGAGAGATGGAAATCGGGAAATACAAAATACACCCACCGGTCAGCTGTTCCCAGGACAACGGAGGTTTTCTTGTCAGAGAAAATTGACGATAATGAGTAGGGGGAAAGCACACGAGGTCGTGCATCGCTAGGAAATGACATAGTTTATTAACAACCTACTGGAACTCTTGAGGGAGGAAGCTTAAATACACAAAAAATGGAATCAAGGATCCGTGTGTCCAAGGTGTCGACAGAAACTCAACGCCAGACATTATGAATGCATTTCGAGCGCTCAACATCGTCTATTCACCCACCGAGTATTCGACAGCGTGACACCTGAGGGAGTGTGATTGTGTGGAAGCAGCGATCGCAATGTAACGATACCAACACAAATTCACTGCCCGATTATTAGTGGAACGGAAAACGAAGTTAACGAGTTGAGAGAAGAGTAGACCAAGTTGAAAGAAATATTGGTGAAAAGCAATGTGTGTTAGTAAAAGCAGTCCACACATGCTTGGATTAAACCTCTGCGAAACAAAAATAACAGCAAGATCAAAAATCGCAGTAGATGGAAGAGGTCTGAAGACATCAGACAAGTCTGAAAAAGGAAAAAATATCGGTCAGAAAACATCGCAGCAAATTGATTGCTGTGTACCTGTCGATCGAAAGGCAGTTAGTGGGGCTGGTGCCAAAAGGAGGATAATTTCTTTGGGCGTCTTCCGCCGATGATGACATTTGAGGAACACTGTTATGGAGTGCAAGATCGCAAACACAGAAGTGGAGTACCAATTCGTAACGAATGGAGTGCCCCAGAAAGCGGATGGTGGAATCTTTCAGGTACATAATGGAACCGAATTGGTGTAGTGGACTAAAGTTCAAAAAAACCCACAGGAAATACTCAGGATGCGGGGTCAAACGAGCCCTCAAGGTGAAGTTCCCTCACACTGCAACACATGTATCCAAGGCAGCTCAGGTCAGAGAGGCCGACGCATACACAACGCGTCTGTTGCATCACATGACCAACCGGAACTCGGCCAAATCATCGTCCATTGAACAATGACATCCTAGCACTTGTGATATGCACGGCGCTAATTGAGGGGGTAACAAATTAGTAAACTACTGACGCTGTAACTGTACTCATGGCGCTAATAAGCATCATAATTAGCATGATATGTCGGGTAGAACATAGCACTTTTGTTTATGATGACTCATAATCATGAATAGAATGTGGTGAAAACCGTAAGACGACATTTTGCCTTGTGGACTCATGCAACGCGGTGGATCTCTTCGGCTTTTATCCGAAACATTTGTTGCCCTTGGAGTTTCCGTCTATGAGAACTCGGACAACCACAGCGAAGCCCCCAGTCGTCGACAGTTAGTGGCATCAGTTCACCGATAATTCGTGCTGATTTCTCGCTGCCATGCGACCAGTGGCAACGATGCGAGGGGTTAGCTGACTCGCCGAAGATTCCCAGTGCCTACAATGCTAACGTTTACGTGGTACTAATGCATGAGTGGTTCGGGTTTATCCTGTTCCAGCAAATAGTTTGGTGGCCGTAATCCAGGACGTGGTGGGCTATCACCTCGCAAGCGTTCTCCCTATAAAAACCCACATATGTCCGTTTAACAACACTGAAACATGGCGGATGCATCTCGCCACTAAATAATGTCAATGCCCCTTGCTTCACTGTGTCGGAGCGTTGTCTTACAGCAAAGCCAAGTTGAATTGTAGGGAGGATTGGGCCCCTGTTTGTCAACCGACCAAACGAAAGGCGCATGAAATGATCAATCAGTCCCCGGATCCCAATGGGCGCGATTCCCTAAATTCGCCCAACTGCCTTGCGGGCAGGCTGTTTGACAAAAGTTAGGGATGATGTCGCCTAAGCCAACACCAAACTTCGACACGGACAACCGGGTAGTATCTTGCTATATGACGAAGCAATCGATTTCTCTATGCTGTGTTCGGTTTTCTTGGTATAACAAATGCACCTCCTTGGATTTTCACGGTTTTTGATGGCTTTTCGTCTATTCGTAGACTGATGCAATATATATATATATATATATATATATATATATATATATATATATACGGCTAGCGGCATCCGGTTTCGGATTTGCCAGTCACTGTGGCCAGCTACAGGATGCCTGTGCATTACAGATGGACCATGGGTGACTTGCGCTGCATCACCCACAGCTCCATTCACACACCCCATATCCAGTGTAAACCCGAAGGAATAAGACCGGGAGGCAAGTGGATGGGAGCCAAGTTTCATTGACGGAACCGACCCACTCTTTCACAGGCAAAACACGAGCACGCTGTATTTGGGGAATCAAGCGCACACAATGCGGTGGATGGACCGTAGTCCGCTCCAGACCGAGTGCATGGAACCGCTCTTCGATCCTAGTACGGCCACAAGAACCGTGCACCCCGTCGCCTACAGCAAGAACCAACTGTCTCCTGAAGCCAGTACGTAGGAAGTAGTGGGTAATAGACAGATATGCATTTTGTTGACATACACATTCAGCGCAGAGACACCGGGGATGTCAAACAATAGCCAATCAGTTGAAGTGACATTATCAACTAAAACATATCTGTTAAAGAATATGGCTACACCGACATAACTCTTCGATAAATTAGCATATGAATTAAGTTAGTTATCAACGAATCCGCGATAAGTACGAATGTCCACAAGTTACCCAAAATATTACAAACAATAAAGTTAACGAAGATAACTACAATTAGCGTAAGCAACGTGGCCAGTTAATAGAAGATGACTCAGGTAGGCAGGACAAAGCAAATAAAGTGGAATGAAATTTATCCGGCTTAAAAAGACCAAGTGTAAGTTGGTTTAGCCCAACTAGTGAAGAAGCATCATGAATGCAACATCAGCCTCAGCATGAGGCACATCTCAAACATATGCTTGGCGGGATCCGCTTTCGGATTTGCCTGTCACTGTAGCCATCCACAGGACGCCTGCGCCTATACAGAAGGACCATAGGTGGCTTGCGCTGCACCACCCACAGCTCCATTCACACACCCCATATCCAGTGCAAACCCGAAGGAGTAAGACCGGGAGAAATATGAATGGGAGCCAAGTTTCATCAACGGAACCGGTCCACACTTCTTCACAGGCAAACACAAGCACGCTGTAGTTGGGAATCAAGCGCACACAAGGCGGTGGCTGGACCGTAGTCCGCCCCACACTGAGTGCATGGAACCACTCTTCGAGTCTAGCACGGCCACAGGGTCCCTTCACCCCGTCCCCTCCAGAAATGACCAAATGTCTCCTGGACGAGGTAGTGGGTAATAGAAAGGTAGGCACTTTATCAACATGCACATCAAGCGCAGCCACACCGGGGTAATCAAGCAACAGCCAATCACTTGAAACGACGATATCAAATAAAATAAATCGAATAGTGCATACAGATATGGTGAAATAAGTCTTCACTAAATGAGCGTACGGAATAAATTGGTTGTAAAATATCCGCGAAAAGATCAATAAGTCAGAAAATATACCCTAAGAAAATGCCACAACCGCGAAAATGTTGTCGAACTTAACTACACATAGCTTAAGCGACGTGCGCGGGTTTATAGAAGGTAGTTCAGGTAGACATTAATAAGGGATAAAAAAAAGCACTAGAGCAATATAGCAAACCCACTGCCTGAAATAAAGAGCATGAAAGCAAGCGGTTAGTAAATCGAATCCAGCGCACCCACAAACGCTGCGCCGGTTCTGTCTACCTTATCTGCAGGACCCGTCGTCGCTTCGGTGGTGGTCCCGAGTGGCCTCGCTCGTGGCTCACTAGGCCTGCCTGACTCAGGCACTCGCGACCGCATGTTCTACAGCACCATCCGCTGGCTGTCGGCACCGGTCACTTCCGCAACTGCTGCTTTTTCTCTGCATGCACGATGGATGTCTCTTGCACCTCAGCAACGGCCTTCATGATCAGATAGCGCCATGCACGCCGATCAACCGCCTTCGATTCCCATGACCTGCAATCAAGATTAGAACGTGAGAGGCTCACTTTGATCATGTCCTGGTAACTTAACTTCGGTTCCCCCACATGCCGCTTCCCAATGCTCAGCTGACCATGTAATAGTTGTTTCCGTATCCGCGTCGAGTCCATACGGCTCACATGACCGAGCCACCTCAGGTGTCTCAGTAAAAGTATGCAGTCCACTGCACACATTCCACTTCGGTGCAACACTTCTGTGCGCACAACTCTGTCGCCCCAACCGATGCGCAAAATCCGTCGCAAACACTGTTGATGGAACCGCTAGAGATATCGCATATCTTGCTGGTACATCGTCCATACTTCGCTGCTGTATAGAACGGACAGCACCATGGATTTATACACCATCAGCTTCGTGCCAACGGTAAGCTGATGGTTGTTCCACACTCGGTACTCCAGCTTCACGAATACCGCCGCTGCCTTCGACATGCGGATACGAAGATCAATGTGAAACTGCTGGTCAGTCAATATCACACTTCCAAGAGGGCAGAAGCGAGAGGTGGTTTCTAATACTTCAGCACCAATGCTGATTTGCAGCAATATTGAAGACTGCACTTCCGATAAAGGCAGAAAGAGACCGACAGTTTTGCCTGTGTTGATGGTGAGCCTGAATTTGGCTGCTGTCGAAGCCATGAGCTGCAACGCATCGGCGCTGTGTGCAAACAACGCACGGTAATCAGCACATAGCAACGGATAGTTCTCTCACAGACTAAGATTTTCGCACCGAAAACACGGATGCTCAGCAACCCACCACTAATACGAAGCTCCACACGACCACGGTAGGCACACGCCGTATCAAAAGCACAAGACATCATTGCATGAAGATA